GTATATAGATGTTAAATAACATCAGGGAGATTACTGCCCCTTGGGGCACTCCGCAAGCCAGCAGGTGCCTTTGGGAAGCTGTTCCCCCAGTGCCACCTTTTGACCCTGACCCTGAAGGAAAGAGAAAAGCCATTGTAAGGCAGACCCCTGGATCCCAGTGTTGGCGAGGCAGTGGATCAGTAGCTGATGGTCAACCATGTTGAACACTGCCGACAGGTCCACATCACTGCCAAAACTGCCCCGATCCAGATGCCTCTGGAGGTCATCCGTGAGGGTGACCAGTGCCATTTCTATTCCATGGCTTGGGCGAAAGCTGGATTGTATCTAATGTGGAAGTTTCATCCATAAAACTCTACAGCTGAGTAGCCACTGCCCTCTCATTTAGCTTGCCCAGATAGGGCAGATTGGAAACTGGCCGGTAGTTAGCCAATTTGGGCAGATTCAGAGATGGGTTTTTTTAGGAGGGGGGATACCGCTGCTTCCTTAAGTGCCCTACGGAACAGTCCCTCAAAGGGACTTGTTGATAATCTCCCTTAGGGCACTTCATAGCCCATTGCGACCAGCTTTAATTAGTCACAACAGGCATGGATCAAGGCTGCAAGTGGCAGGGCACACAGTTGAGAGTAATTTGCTGACTTCCTTTAGGCTGAGCAGACTGAAATAATCTGTGAAATAGCTCTCAAGGCCTCACAGCCAATATCCAATTCTCTAGCATTTGGTTTGCCTTGTGGCAGAGTAGTTATGGACCAAATCGTTCTAAATAATTGGGCTGGGTGTGAGCTCACAGACGCAATCGTGGCCATGTAGTATTCTCTCTTGGCAGTTTTGACTGCCATCTCATAGGATCTCATAAACGTCCTATAGGATGCTCTTGTAGTTTCGTCACGGGCGCACCGCCACTGTCTCTCTAGCTGTCTGAGCCTTCACTTCATCAGCCTCAGCTCCTGGGTGAACCAAGGAGCCAGCCTAGAGCGAGGGTGCCGAGGGCGTCGGGGAGTGATCTTGTCAATGGCTGCCAAGAATCAGCTGTGCTAATCCTCTACAAGTTCATCCAACAAGCCACCACGGGGCATCGGTTCCCGCAGTGCCATCTGAAACCGCATAGGGTCCGTGGGTGAGCTAAAATATGCTCGCCGTCCAAACAAAATCGAGGTGAAACATTCATACAGACCTTCAGGACATGGTGGTCCAAAAATGGCATTGCTGTAGCAGTGATATGGTCCGCTGTAACCACCACCATGAAGATCAAATCAAGCATGTGCCCAGCCTGGTGAGTGAGGGCCATTACATATTAGGAGAGTCCTAGCACAGCCATGGACATCACCAGGGCACCAGGTCCATTGCCTGTGTGGAAGCCGCATCGTTTGCATGGACATTGAAGTCACCCACGACTGTCAGTCTAGGGTGCTCCAGTGCCCAGCCCAACACAGCCTCCACCAGGGATGGTAGGCTATTGGCCAGTGAATTGGACAGATGGTACACTAACCAGATAGCCAAACTCTCCTTGGCTTTCCACATTAGGCCAGCACACTCTATGCCCGTGATCTTCGGTGGCAGGAACACCCTGAAAGCCACTCCTCCCCCCACCCCCTAGTCTGTGATTGGTGAAGGACTGAGAACCCGGGAGGAGCCAACTGGGAGAGCGTTACTGTCTCCCCCATCTTGGACCCAGTTCTCGGTCATGCATGTCAGGTCCACATTCTGCTCTAGCAGAAATTCCCAAAGGACCATGGTCTTATTATTTATGGACCTGGCATTGCACAATGCCAGTGTCAGAGGGGGCTTATTCAACCTAGCCCCACTACCTACAACCTTCGGCATGGGACACAGGCCGAAAGGGGGGCAAGCTACTCTATTTCTCTGTCCCCTTTCTTTATATCCATGCCTGGTCCCACCACTATACTTTTCCTTCCACTAACAGGCAAGAAAAAGGGCAGATTAATGTTTCTGAATACCTGAGCTGCTGCAGTTCTACATGCCTCCCTGCAGAGTAGCATGTAGCACTGAGTCCCCCCAGTAGGTTGCCAGATCCCTTACCTCTGCCGGTGGGGGGCTTTGGGGGGGTGTTCTGGGAGGTGGGACATCACGTGACATCCCCAACATGATGACATCACCCAGAAGTGATGTCATCACAGCAGAAAAGTTGTGCAGGGATACTGGTATTTGGACAAAACTCTGTGTTTTTTTGCCCTCAAAACCGTTTGCCCAAATACCAGAGCATCCCGTGAGCACCATTTCCAACACAATGATGCCGTGAGCACAATTTCCAACACAATGATGTCATTCCCATTCTGTAGCCAGAAAATGTGGCTTTGGAGGGCTGTGGAATCTTGGGGAGGGCATCATGGGCCCTAGAAAAAGACAGCTCAGAGGGCATTTAATTGCATTCAGAAGGCATTTAAATGCCTTTTGAGTTCCCTTCCACACACCAAGAGATCTCAGAAGGACACACAAGAGTGGTACCTTCAATGCATCCCCAACAATCCTCCTTTCTGCTAGCCGAGTCCTGCTGTATCCCATCATGGTGAGACTTTCAAAAGCATCCCCATGAGCCTTTGGGAAACATTAATTTGCATATTTCCCAAAGGTTCATGGGGATTTTTGTGGATGTACACTTTTGCCACTTGTTGCTTTTATGAATGCTGTAAGTCAGTGCTTCATCAACATATTTTACAAAAGGGTGCTGTGGTGGACTTCGCTTTAAAAGTTCGTAAGTCCTGTAGAAACATTTCATAGACTTTGTTGTTGTTGTTCAGTCGCACAGTCGAGTCCGACTCTTTGCGACCCCATGAACCAGCTCCCTCCAGGCCCTCCGGTCTTCCGCCATCCTCTGAAGTTTGCTCAACTTCATGTTCGTTGCATCGATGACACTGTCTACCCATCTCATCCTTTGCCGTCCCCGTCTTCTTTGACCTTCAATCTTTCCCAGCATCAGGGTCTTCTCCAGTGAGTGCTCCCTTCTCATTTGGTGGCCAAAGTATTTGAGCTTCAGTTTCATTATCTGGCCTTCCAGGGAACAGTCAGGGTTGATTTCTTTGAGGATTGACTGATTTGTTCTTCTTGCAGTCCAAGGGACTCTCAAGAGTCTCCTCCAGCACCATAGTTCAAAAGAATCTATTCTTCGGCGCTCGGCCTTCCTTATAGTCCAACTCTCACAGCCATACATGACTACTGGGAATACCATTGCTTTGACCATGCGGACTTTTGTTGGCAGGGTGATGTCTCTACTTTTTATCATGCTGTTTAGGTTCGCCATCACTTTCCTCCCAAGGAATCTCATGTGCCATTTTAGAAGTTTAAGTTTAGAGGGTGATCTTGTCTCTTCCCTCAAGTTCCTGGGCTGAGCCAGCATAAAAATACACTAAAGTGACAGTAGGACAGCCATAGATCTTCAGGAAAGAAGAAAATAGATAAAGGGGCTGCTCAGTCAGAAAGGAAGAGAAAAACAGAGGTAAAATCCTGCATCAGAGGGAGGGAAGAGGGCAAGGTGATCATAACTGCACATGACCCAAATGTGGCATCTTTTTTTTTTTTTACAAGACCAGGAGAGGCTAATAGTGTAACAAAATGTAAGCCATTGCCTGCTGAAATTAAAGGGATGGGTAATACACAGGATCTAAAAAAGCAGGATCTAAATTTACTTGAATGCCAAGCAAGGAATGGTTTTGTTATGTAGTAATTACATAAGAGCCAGAAGATGGGAATTCTGCACCTCAGGTCAGATAATTGCATTTATGAAACCATGTTTACATCCTATAAAGTTTTTTTCCCCCTTTGTCACATGCCTATGAGAAGCACCTTTTCATTTTCAGGCATTTTTAAGGGTACACGCAACAGTAGAGACACAGAAGCCACCGTTGAGGGTCACAGCATTCTTCTCCCCCCTCTTGCTGATAGTCCCACAATGACTGAGCCCATTGACCACGGTCCCATGTCCCTGTGTAGCTGTGATTTTCTACAAACTGCCACAAGCAAGAAGAAAAGAAATTCCAGTCCTTTTCCTGGAGGGTTATAAAGACTCTGAATATTTATTACCTGAACAAGGCCCTCTGTTTAATCTACCAGACAATAATATTTTTATGTAAGGTTTATTTATTCTATATTTTGTTCGAGTACTTCGAGCTGTACGTAAGGACCATAATCTACAGTAAAAATGTCTCATTTTACTTCCTGTCAAACAGTAGCCTTGAATTTGCATTTAGATGCCTCTCTAGGAATCTCCACTGCATAGCTGTAATGAGATAAATTATTGATCTCCACTTACGAGCTCTTTATGAAACTCGTGCATCTTGAACTCAGCAAAACAGTGCTATACCAGCCGTGACTTAACCATATAAAATGTAATAAAAAGGGAAGAGGGGGAAGTTTTGCAAACACTTTTAATAAAAACACTTACAGAAATGTTTGTATCAACATAAAAAAGGGGTTGGCCATCAACTGAAAAAGGTGTGCAGGATTTCTCAAACTTTATAAGGAAATAAGGAGGCCAAACTTCATAATTTGCCAGCAAATGGTATCTATAAAATAGGCTATTTTTTTTCCTCAACAGAACAACAGTTTCCAGGGCAACTTGCTATTTGGTGCCAATTATTTGGGGATCTTGAAATTGCTTTAAATAAATTTATTGTGGAAACAGTTAAGAGCCAGACTGAAAATTGTCTGAAGTCAGTGGGAAGTTTCCCATTGATTACAATGGGTTCTGGATCAGGCCCAAAATAGTGGGGAATTTAATTTTTATCTTTATACACTCAGAAATACCTCAGAATTTTAATGAAATGTCTATTGATCTCAGGAAAACGGTGAATACATTATTTGTGCCTAGATTTGTATCTTTGTGTTACAGTTTCTCATTGAACTGCATAAAATGGTTAAGGCTGCAGTCCTATGTACACTTTTCTCAGAGTAAGCTCTACTGAATAACATGGGACATAACTACAGGTAGACCTGTAGGGGAATGGCTTTTATATCTCTCAGGTGTGTTTTCTAACCCATGTGTACAGGATTCTGGAATTGACATTGGAGATATTTCTGAGAGGAAGGCCTTAAGGAAGAAGCTGCAGTGCAAGACCTTTCGGTGGTATCTTGTGAGCGTCTATCCAGAAATGAGAATGTACTCAGACACTGTTGCCTATGGCGTGGTAAGGGTCTTGCTTCTTTACCTTGATCACTCATAAGGGAAATTATTTCTGCAGGTGGACTGAAGTTCCAGATAAAAACTCTGGGACAAACTTGGGGTCATCATTAATTGCTTGGCACATTGCTTTCTGATGTAGAGTGAAAAGGCTGTTACACCTTGCACTTATAATACAGTCTGCTGTATTATATCCATCTCTTTTATACTTTAATTCTGAACATCTAATCATTGGAATTGCAGTGGATCTAGGTAAAGGAATGCAGGCTTCGAAACTGTGCTATCCCATCAACAGTCTGCATGTAGGAACTTAGACCAGAACTCCGCCACCTCATTAAAAAGGAGCTGTCTCAAGTAAAAAAATATGTTAGTCAAGGGATGGAACACCTTTTCCCGAATGTGGCAACTAATTACCTGAAATAATGAGGTGTTTTCTGGGATGGCAGCCTGGCTCCAATTAACTAATGAGGACCAAGGTCATGGTAACAAAGAGGAAACTAGTTCCAGAAACTCTTTCTTTGCAGTCCAATCCCATGTAAAAAGGTGATTGACACTTTCTTTTAAATATGATTAGTTAGTCACTCTGCTATCCAGGTGATATAAGTAAAACATTCCTCCCTCCCCAGTTTGCAGCACTGTCTGACGCCGGTGTGTGTGTGTGTGCTTTTCTCCACCCTCCCTCAAGTACATTTTTGTCCTGCCCTCCAAGCATCTCAGAATGGCAAACACTGTTCTCTCTTCGACCACCCTGTGAGGTAGGTTGAGCTAAGAGAATGAGTGGCCCAAGTCCCCTAGCAAGGCTAGAGGTTTGCACCCTGGTCTTCCAGATTGCACCATGCTAGCACCCCACTATGGGGGTCTGTAGCAGCCCTCTGGTCTGGGAGCAATGCATCAAACAGTTTACCTCTGCCTAGTAGGCAAAATCACATAACAGAATAGCTTTACCAAACTGAAACAGCCACTTACAGAGCCAGAGCCCTTAAGCCAGTGAGGCACCAGTTTGTAAACCCTTTGGAAAAGCAAGCCTATCAGCAGAATGCTCTTTGATTCAAGATCTCATTTGACTCTACTGATTAGAAAACACCCCTGTCGTGTATATTATCTGCTGAATCTCTCTTTCCCCTCCCCCCCCCATCCTCCATCAACTTGGATCTAGATGTCAGATCCTACTGGTGTGATAATTCATTTTCATGACCTTAACTGAAATGTGGGTTTAGTTCATTTTTTGTTTGTTTGTTTTAGTTTTGACGAGTAAGTATTCAAAAGGAATCCGCATCAGTGGTTCAGGAGGATCATTATGTTAGTGGGAGCAGATCACTGCCTTTCACTGCTGACCTTTTTATTCAACACCTTCTAGCTAGACTCCTCAGAAACATTGGGAAAGTGCTTCTCTCTCTTTAAGCCCCTTCTGGAAGCATTTTAGGAAGCTGCTTATAAAGAAGCTCTTTGAGGAGAAGGAAAGAAAGAAAATGGATACTAAGGGATAAGTGTGTATTAGGAATTGGGTTTAGCAAAGGTGAGCCAATGACATATTCATGGCATCAGAGCAAGGGCTGCTTCACTCATTGTGTTTCACAACATAATACACACCAGGGGAATAGTCATGATGGTTAGACAGGATGAGATGGTTAGACGGTGTCATAGATGCAACGAACATGAAGTTGAGCAAACTTCAGAGGATGGCGGAAGACCGGAAGGCCTGCCGTGATCTAGTCCATGGGGTCACGAAGAGTCGGACTCGACTGTGCGACTGAACAACAACAACAACATAATATCTCACGGTGCTAATTTTTCCAGAACCTGAGAAAGCATTCTAAAAATGTTCTTTGATTTTAGCAGGTATAGCTCATTGTTTGCCATGGCCGCTCTGCAATCGTGAGGGTTAAAGAAGTTTAGCGCTTTCATTTTGTTAAAATGAAAACAGAGGTGAGCGAGGGCCTCCCTTAAAGTTCAGGAGATCTGGTTAAATCATTCTAGTGTGCTCCATTGCTCGAACCATCTTGGTCTCAAAAAGACCTCGATTTTCTAACGTAGTATGCTAGGTAATACCGCCATTACACCATCAGTATACCATCATCCTAACGTACTATGCTAGGTAATACATAATAAATTTAACATCTGTAGGGTGAATTCAAATTGCATAGAGGGGGCATTCTGATACACACTAAAATTTCTTTATAGTCTTAAGAAAAACCCACCTCTTCTTTTACTTCCTAATTTCCTCACTCTCACATCATATACAATACTATAGATGCAGTATTCAAGTATTAAAATTGTGACATTAAAAATATAAGAAGCTCTCGACAGGCGCCCTTGTAGGAATGCAAGTTCTCCTTCCAATTTTGTGAGAAAATGGTTTCCTCCGATTCAATACATGGTGGGAAATGATCTCTTACCTTCCAACCCAAACTATGTTGAATGGCTTCGCTTCTAAGTCACTTCCTCTTAGTCTGAGCACATGTTTCGGTTACACAGTTTCTTCGCAATAGGCTGGGCTATTTTGGGGCAGGAACGCACAGGAACAGAGTTCCGGCTGGCTTCAGAGTTGGCCACGCCCACTACAGCAAAACCTCTGCGTGCGTGTCTACAAAGGGAATGACTGCAGAGCGGCCCCCCCCGGCAACTCCGAGGTGGGAGGGCCGGGGGGGTCTGGAAGGATTGGGAAGGCATTTAAATGTCTCCCTATGCCTTCCCCGGCCTGTCCAAGGGCCGGCTTGACCGGGCCCCCCGCAGGTGCGGGGCACCCAGGCAAGCCAAAGGAAGGCATGGGGGTGGCCTAATATGCTAATTAGCTGTACTGTCAGGGCATGGCCTAATATGCTAATGAGTTTCTGCTGGGCTTTTTCTACAAAAAAAGCCCTGGCAATAGGTATATATAGATATTTCGATACAAAAGTTTATTAATGGTGAATTATATTAATGTTAATTGAACTCTAACTGTTTTCTATTTTGATGAAAGTCGGAATTTGCTATATGTACTGTTTAAATTTTATTCAAAAAACTTGAAAAATGTTATATATATATATATGAAGGGCATTATGTTTTAGCTATTGTAAAGAACATACCCTGAGAACTGAGCAGACTTCAGCATGTGTGCCCAGACCATGGCTTCCAGTTGGCGAGGTGTTCTTAGGTTCGTGGACTAAGATGGCTAATGGCAATAATAATATTTGCTAAGAAGGCTTCTTTTTAAATATTATCAGTTTAGAGTTTCATTAAATGTAGAGAGGCTTCTAACATGTTACTAAAAATGAAGTCAAAGTCATCTTTGATCATATAAATAGAAACCAACCACCCCCACACACACACACACGGCAATGGAATAACTGAGTTTTCTGTCACACACTTGTTGGATTAATCCAGCATTTATTTGACAAGCATAAATTAAAAGCTCAGATCAGCCCTGCAAAGGTAGCCAGATTTCTTACAGCAGTTCTGAAGGAAAGCTGATATACTAAAGAGTATTTGTTATCGAATAGGTTACCTATGAGACTGAAAAGATATAAGTAAGGTAGTAAAAGAAATTGTGAAACTTTAAATAATATCAAACTGAAGGGAAAGATTAAGAGAGGAAATGTGGTGGGGGTGGGAACGCTGCGGGAAGCCTGGAGGAGGGATGGGAGGGAAAAGGGATGTATTAAGAAATGGTGAACTGGTTACTTTTGGACTTGTTTTATATCCCGTTAATAAAAACTTGTTTTAATTTTTAAAAAAAGAGTATTTGTGCTAAACATTAAATTAACTTGACACAGTAAAGCCCGATAGCTAATGCAACTGTTCACTGACTACCTTATTATACTTCTGCACACTGTGAGTGTTGCTTTTTATAAATCAGTTTATGTTACCTGTTCTCTGTATATTTATCACAGTAGTCATTTGAAAGTAACTGGTTTTACACAACCCTGAGGATCCATGCAGTTTTATGGCTTATACTGCATTTGCTTGTAAAAAAGAGAATTCAACATTAATGAGGATGTTTTCATCTGGACTGAAGTCTTTTAGGAAGCTGAGGTACCCTTGGTGTTGCTATTAAAGACTCTGGAACCTCACATAAAGGGCTTCAGTTTCTTTGGGACAAAGGAGTTTTTCCCAGGGGGATGAAGATGATAATAAGAAAAATAATCCTAAATCAATTTGTGATGTGGGAATCATAGTAAAGACCTCTACAGGTATATCTAAAAGGGTAGCAGTGTTGTAGCAAAATAAAAGATCAGTGACACCTTAAAAATAAAAATTCTTTCAATATGAGTTTTTGTGAGTCACCACTCACTTCATCAGGTACAACCATCTGAGGTACTGATCATGCTCCTTCAGTGAGGGAAGTAATCCAAAGTGGCTAAGTCACACCTCCTCTCATTCCAGGCAGGACTATGCAAATTTTTGTATGCCTTTCCAGGACAGAGTGAGAGAGCTCTTCCAGTTTGAATAGCCCTGCCACTCCATTGGGTCACCAGAGCTTAGCTCCACTTTCCTGAGAGTTTTTAAAGTAAAAATCAGAACTAAGGCAGGAAGATCTCACCAATCTATATGGAGGGAGGTTCTTTCAGAAAGGACACAAGATTCTGGACCTCAGAAGAATAAAAGCTGCCTGAAGGAGAAGCCCTCCCAGTCTGAGGTTTTGGGCAGGAGAGAGGTTGTGCCGGGTTCCAGGGGGCCAGCTTCAGAGGCAATCGGTAGAGCAGCAGGGGCCTCCCTCCCTCCTGACAGGGAAATGTTGAGACAGATGGAGGCAGCCGTGGAAGAGCACTGGCACACGGAGAGAGAGGCAATGGCTGTGTGATGGATGGATCAAAAAAGGGATGCCGATCGCAACACGGGCAGTGATTCAGCCATCATTCAAGGGCCCCAAGGGCAAATTGGGGGCCCTTTACCCACCCAGGACCCCAGGTTGTGATTTCTCATGCCAGGTGGCTTTCCCTTCATGCAGGCCCTATCTACTCCAACGGGCTTAGCAGTGGCTGTGGGAACTCCCAACATGCCAGGCGTGCCATATTTTCAGCCAAGAATAGTTCAGGGGACAGGAGATCTGAGAGTCTGAAGGCTCAGGGAATACCTCAGCAACGATGCTCCTGTCTCCTTGTCTCCTCCTCTTCCTTCTTAAGGGAGGGGCTTGTTAAGATCTAAGAGCCTCAGGAAACTGAGTAGGAAAAAGGCTGGCAAAAGACTAAGGGTTATAGGGAAAGGTTCCCTTGCTCAAAACCCAGTCGAATCCGACTCTAGGGTTGTGGTGCTCATCTCTGTTTCAAAGCCGAAGAGCCAGCGCTGTCCGAAGACGTTTCCGTGGTCATGTGGCCGGCATGACTACACACCAAGGCGCACGGAACGCTGTTACCTTCCCACCGAAGTGGTACCTATTTATCTACTTGCAATTTCTTGCTTTCGAACTGCTAGGTTGGCAGGAGCTGGAACTAGAGACGGGAGCTCACTCCATCATGCGGCACCCAGGTCTCGAACTGCTGAACTACTGACCTTCCACAGCCTGCAGTTCAGCGTCTTAACCACTTGAGTCACCTTAATAGTAGCTTTATGGCAAAAAGGGGTTCATATGTACCCTTATTTAGACGATATTTTGATCAGAACATGAGATCTACAGATGTCCAGGGACAACATGAACTTGCCTATCCATTTCTTGCAGGACCATGGTTTTCTAATAAATCTTCAAAAAGACCAGGTGGTTCCCACCAGGGACACCATTCATCGAGGGGCCAAGATAGACACACACCCAAGAAAAATCTTCCTGCTGTTGGATAAATGCATTTATCCAATGGGACCACTATCGGAACTTTTACGCAAGGCACACCACACCAGTAGTTGGAGATGCAAATGCTCTTCTGTCCCCCGAGCACAGGAAGGAAAACGAATCAGCTAGGTTTGATTTTCAGATCAGACCCGATCATGTTCTGTAACAGTTAAAGCAAAAGTGGAAATCAAGTTTCCCTCTCTCTCTCCCTGAATAGTTTAATGATTGAGTTTATGACAAAACCAGGTTTACTTGGAGAGCCTCTGAGAGTGCCTCTTCAGGCAATGGTAGGAATGGGTATGGTACCATCAGTGAGCACAGATGTGGGGAGCCATGGTGAACCACACAATTTATCAAGTCGGACTCCAGCTTAACTGTATACTTAACGGTATATTTGGATTGTTGTACAGTTTTATCTATTGTTTTATCATTGATGTATATCACCCAGAGCCCTGTTTTTACAGGGATGGGGTGATTTATAAATTGAATTAACAACTATAATAAATGCCAGTTGCACCAAGCCTTGACATGCTGCCACTTTCCCCAAATCAGCATGTAGTTGGGCAAATAACGTCAAGGCCAAATAATACTCAAGCTTTCTCTGGGTCAACTCTCTTTTTAAGACAAGAGAAGAGATTGGATTTATACCCCGCCCTTCACTACCCAAAGGTGTCTCAGAGCAGCTTTCCCTTCCCCTCCCCACAACAGACACCCTGTGAAGTAGGTGGGGCTGAGAGAACTCTTGACAGAAACTGCTCTTTTTCAAGAACAGCTGTGCCAGAGTTATGGCTTGCCCAAGGTCATCCAGTCAGGTGCAAGTGGAGGAGTGGGGAATCAAACCCGGTTCTCCCAGATTAGAGTCTGTGCACTTAACCACTACACCAAACTGGCTTTTTATGTCAGAGGCTTGTCTTGTAGATTTTATTGGTCCTTAAAAATAATGGCTGTATTATACTTACACCCAGCAACCAGGCAGTCTATCAGTATAACATGTTGTCCTGACACGTAGCTTTAGCTGTGTTTCTGTCTGATGCAGGCTTTGTCTGATCCAGATCATACCTTCTGTTTTGATACAAGCTAATGTGATTATGACTGTAACTTGTTAAATAAATTTTAAAAAGAAAGAAAGTCTTTCTGTCTATAGAAAATTGAAGATACGGAAAGCAGTGTAGTCCATCTGCAAGGAGAAGCACATGGGCCTGATGCTGCTTGGGCCTTCTCATATCTATGATAGACATCACGTCATGGTTATGCTTCTATGCAAGGTCTTTGCGATGGATATAAAAGGGACATTGCGAAGAGGTGACACAAGAACATCCTACTGACATCATCCTTAAAGAATTCACTGAGATGATGGACTTCAATAAGCAATTTACAGTGGGGAATCCCCTTCCTCCAACCTCCCCATGTCCTAGTCACCACAGAAGCCAGCAAAAGAGAATGAAACTGCTTGGACTAGATGGCCCAAGGAAAGTGGTCTTTGGAGGAAAAGAAAAACAGCATAAGTTTGCTCACATTCCACAAGAGTAGCTGCTGCATTAGCTGCCTTCACCACTAGAGCTCCAGTCAAGGCGATCTGCAGGCCGGTGACCTGGTTGTCATTTGCAATGGTTGTGAGACACTACAGAACTGACCAACAAAATTCTATAGAGGCTGTATTTGGGGAAGGGCTCTCCAGCAGGTGTTGGACTAGTAATTTAGTATGTTTATCCCACCCTGTTCTTACCTTGGTTACATAACCAGTTTGAATGACTTTCCCCACTGAAAGAGAACAAAACATTGGACTTACCTGAAGGTTTCTTCTCTTCAGTGGAGGAAAGGCATTCAAACTGGTTAGGTCATGCCTTCACTCGCTCCAGGCAGGGCTATGAAAATTTTTGTATGCCTTCCATAGACCCATTGAGGATTCCCTTCTAGACATAAAATAGCCTAGCCCAATTGTTAGTTCTTGGTCAAGTTTTAGTTAATAAGATTGTTAAAGTTACTACTTGAGTCGCATGATGTTACTGGAGCTGGGTTATTTTATGTCTGGAAGGACACCCTTGCTGTGTCCTGGAAAGGCATAAAAAAATTTTCCTAGCCCTGCCTGGTGCGAGAGGAGGTGTGACCTAACCCACTGAAGAGAAGAAATTTTCATGTAAGTCCAATGTTTTGTTATGCAATACTACATTGTATTTTAATACTAAATGTTTAAGTTTTGGGTTATTTCCCTCCAGTGCTTAAAATGTTATTGCAGAGATATAGCTGTGATCAAAATGTAATACTACTCTAGGCCTACTTTGACAAATTCTTTTCTGTTTCTCTGTCTTTTTGTACTTCTCTCTATTCTGTAGCTGCAGAATTCCCTAAAAAGTGATTTGTGCCTTGATCAGGGGCCAGACACAGAAAATATTCCGATCATGTATATCTGCCATGGAATGACACCACAGGTTAGTGAGACTAATGATCTCCTATTTTCTTGCTGTTTTCCCTTGGTTGTGTGGGAGAAACCATATCGTAACTGTCAGTGGATTTTTTCCTCTACTACAATACCTCCTTAGGCTGTTTTACTAGCCTTTAAAAAAACACACAAAAAAACCCCAGCAACAGTAGTTGCGCCTTGATGTGAAAAATCATTGGTATATTAATTAGTCACAAAGCCTCATTTATTTATTCTGGAAGGATCTGAACAAAAAAAGTTATATAGGGCTATGTTTACCAAGAAATGTTGGCATACACTTTTCTTATTGATCTTTTAAAATGTGAGTGGGTTCATAAAATTTCAGGGACATTTATTTCCTCTCTTGAATTGCCATACTTTTGCGTTCCACCAATGTGATTTTTTTGAAACAAAATCAACATCTGTAAACGCCTTGAAGTGAGATTTTAGAATGCATATTGGTCCTTTGACTAATTATCTTCCAGTACATGCTAAAGAAAATTGATATTGTAGCTCTTTCTGGTCTACAAAACAAACAAATCCACCCTCAAACCCAGAAAAGTTTCATAACAAAGCCTTGACAGACCAGGTGCTCTGTGCTCTCCTGCGGAAGCATTGCACAGGTGAAGATGCAGGTGTCTTGACATCAAAGTATTTTATCAAAGTTGTTCTCACTCTTGATTTGTGTGAGCTTTGATGTTGGCATGCATCTGTTGATGACCAGATGAATATATTCCAAAGGAGAATAAATATTTAACAAACAAATCTATAGCAAAAAAATAGCTCTGAGATATGCCAGAAACTTAATTCTATTATTTTTTTAGAGTTTATAGTCCAAGAGAAGCTGTGTGTCTTGAATTTTCACCTTTCGCAGAGTTTGGGTTATTTTACTCACTGCCTTTAACATTGATCACCGTGGTGGGGATTTGCTGGAGTAAATTATGAATGATGAAGGAAGAAAATATTTGAGAGCCCCATCGATCACAATTACAAACTGCACAGGCTATAGTTTGCCTTTAATTATACTGATAACCAGTGTTTGCCTGAGGACCTTTAGTGTTCTCCAAGTAATCAACAGCCTCTTGTGTAGTTCTCAAGTTACTGAGAAGTCATTATTCTTACCTTCTGAGATTATTCCCTAACTCAGTTTTGATGAATCGTCCATCTGCAGTGATGCTGCTGCTGGAAATACACCACTGCAAGTTTTTTTGATGATAGTTCAGACGCATACAAAAAGAAGTCTCATTCATTTAGCATAATTTTGCAGTGAACTGAATGATTTTGGGAGAAAGTGCAATGTGAATTAGAAAATTGCTGCCCAGTTTTGTATTTCTTCATGAAGAAACAAGCCCAGTTTTGAGGCTTGGGTCTGTATTCTCCTTATCCCATTCAGTATCTATAGGTAAAGGTAAAGGTTCCCTTGCTCAAAAGCCAGTCAAATCCGACTCTAGGGTTGCGGTGCTCATCTCCGTTTCAAAGCCGAAGAGCCAGCGCTGTCTGAAGACGTTTCCGTGATCATGTGGCCGGCATGACTAGACACCGAGGCGCACGGAACGCTGTTACCTTCCCACCGAAGGGGTACCTATTTATCTACTTGCAATTTCTTGCTTTCGAACTGCTAGGTTGGCAGAAGCTGGAACTAGAGACGGGAGCTCACTCCGTCATGCGGCACACTCGGGTCTCGAACTGCTGAACTACCGACCTATAGAACAATATTAATTCCCTAAACAGTGAAAAGGACAGGGAAGTTTTGCTGTAGAGGAGAATAGACTAACAAATCCCTTTTTGAAAGGCTTCTCTCTTTGTCGTGTCACTCAGGTTCATGAAATGATGGGACAGTGTTAAGCTTCTCCTCCATTTGTGTAATTGATTGATTTATTTCTGAGCTGATGCATGATGAATATACATTTGACATTCTGCAAATAAATGCTATTGTCAGAATTAGGTAATAAGTTAGCCCTTCCTTTAAAGGTCTTTTGTCCCTTATACATAGGAAAGTAATATTTTTGCCTCTTCAGAAGGGATAAAACATTCTTAAAGAACTAAAACTCACCCTGGAAGTTTTTCTCAGTATGGAGCTCTGCCTGCTAGCTACCAGTCATGTTTCAGTATTTGTAAGACACGTGCACTCAAGATTGTTCTGCATCACACCGGTGCATAATGGGAGGCCAGTTCATACCACTCTTTTGTCTCAGATAAGACCTAAGAGGTAGCATCCTCAAACACAAAATCATTGCATACCAGGATGTGATGGCTGTAGCCCTAGCAATTCATGTGGGTCCGGCAGTAGCAAAACGTATTGTGAAGAACATATGCGTTAGCTGTATGTTTGTGTAATCTGGTTCACCCTGATGTTTTCTCAGCAATTGTAGGAATGTACGTGCAGCAAACTTTGTGTGCATCCCCCCAGGAAATGTTGTTCCTAAGAATGAATCTCATACATCCCATGTTGCATTGTTGCTTTTCAGCTGTTTAACTCTATTCAAATACAACTGTTTGCCTTAGCTATATGACACTTATTGATCCTCCAAGATTTCGTAGAATTAATCCTTGTGAATTTCAGTGGGATTTACTTCTAAGTTACTGTGCTTTATACTACACCCTTACTTGGCTGAGATCTGCTGCGGGCCTTGAATTTAGGCAACTGCAGAAGAAGCAGCTCATAACAATAAGGGAACTAAGCAATTACTGTGCTTTATACTGCACACTTACTTGGCTGAGATCTGCTGCGGGCCCTGAATTTAGGCAACTGCAGAAGGAGCAGCTCATAACAATAAGGGAACTAAGCATGACCTCTTGCTTCATATCCCTGTCAAGTCAAGACTTCCTTCATTCACTGGAACAAAGGGAAGACTTAGTGGGCATGTTTCCATTGCACATTAGTCAGAAAACCGCACATTTTGCATTCTGTCTCTATATCATATAGACCTATAGTACAATTCTAAACATGTATACTCAGAAGTAAATCCCACTGAGTTCAATGGGACTTATTCCTTAGTGAATGTGCTTCCAGTTGCAGCTTCCATGACTTCCTTTAAAAAAATAATAATAATAAAGCTAGGATTCTGGCCAGACAAGCATGCCCGTATTGCAGGTTAACTTTCTGAACCCGCAATTTTAAAGGAAGGGGAGAATGCCATAAAAATTTCCATGCACATGTGGGACCTAATTAAATAAGTATTTGGGGTGGCGTTACTTGATTTGGTTTGCAATTCCACATAATTCATTCCATGAGAGCTCCTAAGAATAAACTTCCAGCATCACACCTGCATTTTTGCTGATTTTCAACAGATAGAGAAGGAGCACAGTGAAGGCAGGCTGGCTCATCATGATGAGAGGCTACTTAAAAGACAGCAAGGGCCCTTTATTATCTTTAATAGTTTGTTCGTTTTCTGTGCAGCTGAAGGTAGTAGAGCCTAAAGAGAGGGTCCAGTGGAATCTGGCCAGAACCATGGCTTTCAGTATAGGCAGGAGCATACTTGAATATGCCCGGGACCTGCTGCTTGCTGGCATGTTCTGGGCTTGCTTGGGTAATAAAATAAGGCCTCTGAGGTTGGAGGTGTTTCAAGTCGACCCAGTGTGGCAGATGATAGTTCTCTGGGGTTATTTCGGTGATGAAAATGGCAATGGGAAGAAAGTGTAATTCTCCTTCCCCATGGTCCCAATGTACAGTTCAGCCCTGTGCTACCATTATTTTACATACCTAAATCATCCTTAGTAGAGGATAAAGAAGGGGCTTCAGTGGCTCAAGTGGTTAAGACGCTGAACTGCAGGCTGTGGAAGGTCAGTAGTTCAGCAGTTCAAGACCTGGGTGCCGCAAGACAGGGTGAGCTCCCGTCTCTAGTTCCAGCTCCTGCCAATCTAGCAGTTCGAAAGCAAGAAATTGCAAGTAGATAAATAGGTACCACTTCGGTGGGAAAGTAACAGCGTTCCGTGCGCCTTGGTGTGTAGTCATGCCGGCCACATGACCACGGAAACGTCTTCGGACAGCGCTGGCTCTTCGGCTTTGAAACGGAGATGAGCACCGCAATCCTAGAGTCGGACTCAACTGGCTTTCGAGCAAGGAAACCTTTACCTTTTACCTTTTAGAGGATAAAGCCTCTTCTTTCTTTCTCTGTTCTAAATATTTCTGTCCCGCATTCTCTGCTTTAAAAGTATCTGAAATGGAGCATAGTGACATACTTCCTTTTAATGTCACTCATGTACGGTTCTGACCCAAGGTAATTAGTTTAGAAACTAAATAGAAGAAACTTTTTAAATGCTCGTAATTTTCGACCCTGTTGTTTAAAAAAGCTCAGTCATTACAGAATATTACACAAATTTACAATAAGATTCCAGATGCTGGCAGCGCGCAAAGTATTACAAGGAATTAAAATAGCTACTTGATATTTTATGGGTCACATTCACTAAAAGGCAATTTAACATTTGGGTCAAACAGACTGACACAATATACAGACACCACAATTATGTAAAACACTTCTCTGCCTCCTTTATATTGTCTCACTTTTTAAACCTTTTATTCATGCATCTCTTTCTGAAAAGTACTCTTTGTTGGCTCCATAATTTACTAGATGTTTCATCCTCTGTTAGTCAACATGGTTCGTAATACTTTTTACAAGGCATTGCATATTAACAAAAATTCAGTTCCTAATGAATTTGGGAGCTGCGGTGGCTCAAGTGGTTAAGATGCTGAACTGCAGGCTGTGGAAGGTCGTTAGTTCAGCAGTTTGAGACCCGAGTTGCCGCATGACGGAGTGAGCTCCCGTCTCTAGTTCCAGCTCCTGCCAACCTAGCCTTTCGAAAGCAAGAAATTGCAAGTAGATAAATAGGTACCACTTAGGTGGGAACAGTGTTCCGTGCGCCTTGGTGTTTAGTCATGCCGGCCACATGACCACGGAAATGTCTTCAGACAGCGCTGGCTCTTCGGCTTTGAAACGGAGATGAGCACCGCAACCATAGAGTCGGACTCGACTGGCTTTCGAGCAAGGGGACCTTTACCTTTAATGAATTTGACGAGATTGAATCCAGCTTTGAGTATGGTTGCCGTCCTCCAGGTGGTGGCCGCCAAAAACAAGAGACCACGGGAGGAAGTGGAGTTCCAAAAACAACCTCCATGACAAAAAGAACTAAGAGTCAATAGAGATAAGTTTCAAAATTGTTTACTGTAGTGATTGCTGTAGAAAATTTTCTTCTATGATCGCTCCACATGCTAACGAATACTGCGCAATGAACAATTCGTTTCACAATAGTTGCTTTATCTGAGCGTGTAGCAATCCCAGTTCTTATCAATCACTACTTACCAACTCCTGAAGGAAACATTCCATGTTGACTCTCTAATAACAGAACCCAAGGTCTTCACAATGTATTAATAGAAGAACAAAAGTCCGCATGGTCAAAGCAATGGTATTCCCAGTAGTCATGTATGGCTGCGAGAGTTGGACTATAAGGATGGCCGAGCGCCGAAGAATAGATTCTTTTGAACTATGGTGCTGGAGAAGACTCTTGAGAGTCCCTTGGACTGCAAGAAGATCAAATCAGTCAATCCTAAAAGAAATCAACCCTGACTGTTCCCTGGAAGGCCAGATAATGAAACTGAAGCTCAAATACTTTGGCCACCAAATGAGAAGGGAGCACTCACTGGAGAAGACCCTGATGCTGGGAAAGATTGAAGGTCAAAGAAGACGGGGACGGCAAAGGATGAGATGGTTAGACAGTGTCAGCGACGCAACGAACATGAAATTGAGCCAACTTCAGAGGACAGCGGAAGACAGGAGGGCCTGGCAGGAGCTGGTCCGTGGGGTCGCAAAGAGTCGGACTCGACTGTGCGACTGAACAACAACAACAGCAATTTTCTACAGAAATTACTACAGTAAACAATTCTACAATTTTGTCACGGAATTCCACTCCCTCTCCATCCTCCAGGTGGTGGCTGGAGATCT